AGGGGCCGAGCGCTGTGAAGGCGAGCGGCCACACCGGCACACGCGTACCCAGCTAGGCCCGCCGCACCAGGAGAATAGATGCTTTCCGCCAGGGGGGGGGGCACCTCTCAGGTGGCGACCGGGAACTCTCGACTCCCCTGTGGCGCGAAGCAAGGGCGCGCAGAGCTCCCGGCCACCCCTGGGGCAACGGCGTGCCCCCCCCCACACGCGACGGAAGTCCCTCGAGGTCCTCAGAGGCCTCCAGAGATCTCCAATCCCCAATTCCCTGGAGGCGTCCGGAGGTCTTCAGAGGTTCCCTGGAGACCTCCAGGCCCCCAGAGGCCTCCAGACGCATCCGAAGGACCGAACAGGTTCCCCAAAGTACGCAAGAAAGATTCGATCCTCGCCAGCGGCCGTCGAGGAGATGGCGGCGGAGGAGAGGACGAGGGGGAGAGGACGGCGGAGGAGGACGGGGGTGGAGAAGGAGGGTGAGGCGGCGGAGGAAGAGGAGGAGGATGAGGAAGCGGCGGAGGAGGAGGCCGAAGGGGAGAAGGAGGCGGTTGAGGAAGAGGACGGGCATGGAGGGGAGGAGGAGGATGGGGGTGGAAGAGGTGGAGCAGAGGGGCGAGGAGGGGCGGCGGGGGGGGACGACGAGGTGGACGAGGGGAAAAAAGGGGGAGCAAGGGCAGGGAGGGAAGGCCCTGCGAGCCTGGTCCCCCCTCGCGCCGACGACGGTGCACTCCCTCTCGGCACCGGACGGGCTCACCACGGCGACGGCCGCGCCGAGCTGCAGTCCGGCGGCGGCCCGCGGCGCCTCCTCGTCGGCGGCGGCCTCGCGCGCGGCCGCGGGCGGCGCCGGCGTGGGGGGGCCCGGCTGCTCCTGGAGAGGCCCACATCGGAGCGGCGGGGGGAGGGAGCCCAGGCGTGCTCGCGGCGCGGAGAGGTCGTGGGAGATCGCGGGGCCCATCGGCGGCGCATGTGGGGCCAGGGGCACGCGGCCCTCTCCGCCGTCTCGCCTCTTCTTTGTCCTCCGCCTCCTCCTCCTCCTCCGCATCCTCCTCCGCCTCCTCCTCCTCCTCTTCCTCCTGTTTCCTCTTCCTTCTCCTCCTCCCCCTCCTCCATCTCCTCCTCCTCCGCCGCCTCATGTTCCTCCTCCTCCTCCTCCTCCTCCTCCTCCTCCTCCTGCCCCCCCCCCCTGCCTGGAAGGCAGGGGCCCCCCTAAGGACTGGGGGATGGTCGGGGCACCCCCGCCAGAGGAGCTAGCGGGCGGCCGACTGGCAGCTGAAGGTCGGGGTAGCAAAACCAGGGGCTGCACCTGGACGGATGCAGTGGGCGACCGACCCAAGGACCGGCGGAGGCGGGGCCCTTCTTGGGCTGTGGGGTGCGCCGCCCCCGTGGGAGGCGGGTCGGCGGTGGAGGGGACTGTGCCCGGCTCCTCCTCCCCTCGGTTCCTTGGCTCCTCTCGTGTCCCCTCCCCCCCCTCCTCCGCTTTCGCCTTCCTCCTCCCTGGGGGGGAGGGGGCTCTGAGTGGGGCGGGCTCGGGATGTCCCCCGTTGCCGGGCTCCCCTGGCTCGGGGTCCCTGTGGCTCGCCCTACTTGGCGGCCCTCCTCATCCTGGGGCCCCCCTCCCCCCCCCTGGCTCCTCCCCTCCTGCAACCACGGTCCACCCGCCAGCTGGGCCGGCGGCCGGTGGACCGGAGGCGCTGCGAAGGCGCCGAGGAGGCGAGCTGGCCACGGCGGTTCGAGGGCTCGCCCCTCAGTTTTTCGCCTCCCGAGGTCTCGTTGTCCTCGGCGCTCTGGCAGGAGTGACTAAGGCCCCCCGAGTGGTGAGTCAGCCGCCTGGTGGCACGGGGATGCGCGGTTCCTCCTCGGGATGACTTTCGCAGGACGCTGCGCGGGCGTCGAGGAGGCGAGCAGGCCACGGCGGCCTGTCGTTTCGCTGCCTCACTAGGACACAGTCCGTTACACAACAGGTCGAACAGGTCCTCCTCCTCCTCCTCCTCCTCCTCCTCCTACTCCTCCTCCTCCTCCTCCTCCTCCTCCCACTCCTCCCGATGACGTCGTACTGGAGCTCGGTAATGATTGTGCCCGATCGGATGCCAAGTGCGGCTCCTCAACAGGTGTCAGCGCCCCATCGTAGACCGCAGCCATGTTTGATACCGCGAATGCTCCCGTAGCTTTCCTTGCTGGCGGTGGCTTGTAGGGCACCTCGGCTGGCGACCTGGCTGCCGTACTGATGGCCGAGTAGCTCCCATCGCGGTTCGGTGGGGCAGGCTTCGGCGATGGCAGGAGGGACCGTCTGCTGGGGCACGGTAGCCTGGCCTGATCGCTGACCCCCACCCCATCCCTAAGTTCCTGCCGTCGGTCATCTGGGACAAGACGTCCGCCTGTGACGAGGTGCCCACGCGTGGTGGCGTTGCGCCCCTCTGCGTAGGTGGTGGCTGAGCTGGAGCTGCGGCGGGCTGGCGGGTCGGTGGGGGGTTGGGGGGGGGGGGCCCAGCGGCTTCCGTCGGTGGTGGATGCACAGGCTGGGCGTCGTGATCGGACGAGGTGCCGAGTGGTTGGTCGTTGTCGCTGCGGGCATCGCGCAGCTCTGTTCTCCATTCTCGGCGGCGGTCCGTCTGCAAGCAAATTGACAGAGTCGCGGATGTCTCGCTGGATGACGTCGCGGTCGACTTGCTGCTGATGCGTTGTCGGCGGGGGTCTCTCGGGGGTCTGCATGGTGGCGATGTGGTCGGGTGGGTTCACGCACGTAGATCTGGTGGCCCCTGGTGGACTCGCGGTCTGGATCTCTGTGGTGATCCTGGTGGTACATTCGGGGGTCAGCATGTCATCGCTACGGTTGGTCATGATGTCATCGGCGTAGTCTCTAGCCTGCGGGCTTCCGATCAGTAGGCCCCTGGCCCGTCGATGCCCATGTGGGCGACGCTGTTCGTGATGGCGTCGACGCACTGCTTGTAGTATCCGCCCTGCGTGTTCCATGTTGCCACGTGTTCATCAATCGCTGAGATGTCCACGAAGACCAACCTTACGGGTGGTGGTGGCGTTCTTGGTGTCGGGGGCGGCGGCGGCGGCTGCCGCTGCCCTCGCGGGGCCAGCGGAGGGTTTCTCACCATGTTGCCGATGCCGTCGTAGAATTCGTCGCTGCCAGGTGGGCTTCCTCTCTTCCAATCGCCGATGAGAAAGTAGTCGCTCGGGTCGTCCCACTCGGGAGAACGAGTCTCGGCGATGAACTTATAGACTTGGCTGAAGCAACGTCGCGGGTTGTCCGTGATGTTCAGGATCCACGGGTAAGGGAAGGGAAGCTGGTGGTTCTAGTCGAATGGAAATCCGTCGGAGATGCCTCGTCCTTGCAGCCTCCTCGCCAACTCGTCCTCGGTCGATTGTCGGTGCTCTGGTGGATCTGCCGGTAGCGGCGGGCAAAGTGCTGGTGGCAGTCTCGGCACCAGGTTGACGGTCAAGCGCCTGCTCTGAGTTGGCGCGGGGATGGGGTCGCGTCTTGGAGGTCGCGATAGTTCGCGTCTTGCCAGCGGGGGGCCTTGCGCGGAGTAGGGCATGATGTCGATGGCCCTCTTCCGTGGCACAATACCCATCAAGTCCAGTAGCACCTCAAAATGTTGAAATTGTTGTTGCGTCTGGCCACGAGGATCTTGTACACGGCCTAACGCCTGACGGACGTCGTTCTCGATGTGGTTCTCGATGTGGGACATCTGGTGGTGGATGTCCTGGGTCGGTACCTTCATGCATCCGAAGACGATGGTCTCGTCGGGCTCGATCCAGTCTGTCGCTTTGAGGGGCCGTGGACACCTCGCCTTCATAACGTTGGCTGGGGGGAGTCTGTTCGGCACAATTGTCTTTAGCGGCCCCATTTTCGACCTCCACGTCTGCTGGCCCGCGAGACTCCACGTTGCTAACGCGCGGCCGCTGCGGATTCCCGTCGGAGGGTGGTCCCAGCTGGACGTCGCATCTGGCGTCGAATCCGTCGGCGCGGTCGATGGAGGCGCGCTATTATACCTGGTAATTCTGAAGGTAGTGCAACTCGTGGCCATCTACCTCAACTAGCGGGAGGAGGTCGCCGTTAGGGTCGCCCTTGTCGGCGTGAGTCCTACCCGAGTCTGTGGGATCATGTGAAGGTTGCGGAGCTCGAAGACCAAGTTGTCGCTGTGTGGGTGTACGGCTCTTGCTACCCTCGTGGTCAGCGAGGCCGTGAGGTACAATACTAGTGGCAGTGCCTCGCTCGCTTCCACAGAGTTGCCGAACTCATTGGCGACGCGGAGTAGGCAATCTGCAGCTTCGAACGCGTGCTGCAGGTACATCTTGGAATGGATGACATTACGTTCTGCGTCCTGGAAATCCTCCCTCCTGTGGACCTGGATGGAAAGGATCTGGTGGTTTTGTTCTAGGTTGGTGAGCTCCGCGCCGTTTGGCCCCATTGGAAGGGGGCCGAGGCCATGTCCTCCGCCCGTTCCCATGGTAGCGCCGCGACGAGTGCACTCCTCTCCAGCGTGTCTCTCGCGGTGCCGACGCAGTTGGTCTTCCTACAGACGGCGTTGCGGTAGCGGAGTCAGTAAATACGACTGGCGGTCCAGTGGCCTGTAAACCCAGCAGCGGTGCATGTGCCCCTCCCTCCTGGCTTGGCCAGGAAAGCGTCTACACGGCTACTGTGCCCAGGAAAGGCCCGGCCAGGGGGCAGTGGATATGTAGAGATTTCCTCGCCTAACGCATGGTGACCTCGGAACCCCCATCGATCTCACCGCGCGGTCCGTCGCAGCACGGTTGAGGGACCTTGGAGGCCCCGAATCCGCGAAGAACGGCGCGAGTCTCAAACTTCGCGGGGGGCCGAATCCCCACTCACTCACCACGCGGCGTGGTCACCACACCGTCTGGGGGCCCCCGATCTGCATCCCCCACCGACTCACGACGCGGCATGGTCACCACACCGTCTGGGGGCCCCCGACCTGCCTCCCAGATCGTCTTCTGCTGGTCCCCGGGGGGGGAGGGGAGGGGGCGAAAGGGGAGGG